TGCCCCGGGGTCCACCTGGAAGGGCCGTCTCCTCTCCCCCAGCGGGATGCGGACTTGTCCCCCAGCTGTGCCGCCATGCCCCTGCGTGTGCCACGCCAGATGGGTGGTGCCAGTCGTGTGATCCGCGATGCTGACAGCAAGGAAGCCTGGCACGAGAGGCAGTGTGGAGTCTGCAGGCACCGACAGCCCCAGCCACACCCTGGGAGACCCCCCATGGCCCCAGCACCCATCCAGCCCACGGTCACAGGGGACAGGGACGGGAACTGGAACATCCAGGCTCCAGGACGGTGTGATGGGGCAGAGCGGGGCTGGGAGACACAGCAAGGGCAGGCAGGTGTGGGGCAGGGAGTGGGCAGGGCACCCCAGGGGTGAGCAGGGGGGGTTACCTTGGGGGCCGCTGTGGATGCGGTAGCTCATCTCCATGGCACAGGCTGGGCCGGAGGGGCCAAGCAGCGGTGTGCGTGCCTTTGCAGCAGCCACCACTTGTCCTTCTCCTGCCTGGAGGGCCAGGAAAGCCCCTGGGCATGGAAAAATCCTGAGAGATTGGGACAGGGACCCTGCATCCCTGGCAGCACCCCCAGCCCAGCACCCTTCCTGGGCATCACCCCCACCCATCCTGCAGTGGTGCCTACCGCAACCGGGTGGGAGCAGGGTGTCCCTGCACCCTGGGAGCTCCTGCGGTGCTGGAGACCAAAGAGTATCGTCTTGCTGGTGGGAAGAGCCTCACCTGTGAGGTTGGTGGCAGCGAGCTCAGTGGCTCTCTGCACGCTCCAGCGCAGACGCCCCACGCTGACATCGTGCCAGCCTCCGGTCCCAGCCTCGAAGGTGGTTGCTCCTGCAAAAGCCCAGGCTCAACCCCACTGGGCCACCATGCTTCCCAGGGACTGCAGGGGCACCCGCATCCCACGGCCGTGCCAGCCAAGGGGTGCCTGAGTCCCCTCCGCCACCTGGCTACCAGGCTGCTGGTGCCCACCCATGGCTCTCACCACAGTGGTTCTCATCAGAGCCGTCGGCGCACGTCTTGGCAAAGTCACAGGCCAGTTCTGCCCTGATGCAGCCCCCACTGTCGCAGGCCACCTCCCCAGCCGCACAGGGGCTGGCACTTGCCTGGCTCAGCAGCGTGGTCAAAGGCTCCTCTGATGGCAAAACATGCCGGGATGGAGAGCGGTGGTGAGAGGGCCTGGCACCATCACCAGCATCACCCCTTCAAGCCACGATCCCCTGTCCCTGAGCATCTCCCTGGCTCTCCATTTCCCCCAGCCCCATCCCTGCCCTCTACCACCATACGAAGGGGATCAAGGGGGACATGGCTCAGGCAGGAGGTCTTGGCGCAGGGGTTGGAGTGTCACAGCTGCAGCACAAGGCCACCAGGCAACCCAGGCTGTGGACCCCAGGGCAAGTGCTTGCCATGCTGCACCCAGGATGGTCACCACGATGAGCAGAGGGATGGGCAGACCCTGCGCTGGGTTCTTTAGGGACGATGCCATGGGCATAAGACACCTGGGGACCACTGCCCGCACTGGAGCAGGGGTGGGGGACGGGCACTTTCCAGCTCACCCTGCTCCTGCATGCAGCCTGGAGACAAGATCAGGTCATCGATGGCCACGGTCCCTGCGCTGCCGGCCACCCCCTCGATCAGCACCTGCAGGGAAGCACCGCACCATCAGCAGGGGGTCTTGCACAGTATGGAGGGGCTGGGCACAGAGGGGACGTCAGGGAGCCACAAGACAGTGGGGAACCCATCTCCTGTGATCGACCAACACGTGCTTCTCCTGGGAAGGGGCTCAGTGGGAGCAGGGGCGATGCTGCGGCTGGCAGGGGTGCACAGGGTGGGCTGGCAGAGCCACGGTGGGCTTGGGGTGATGGTGCTGCCCCTGCACACAGCCATGGCCTGTGGCTGTGCAGGGGTGCTGTTGGGGTGCCCTCAGGGTGCCATTGGGGTGCCCTCCAGGGCCAGCTGGGAGGGGGTCAGGCTGTGGGGGTGGTTATGGGGGACAGCAGACAGGACCGTGGGAAGGCATGAGGCGACATGAAGACCCCTGCACCCATCACCTTCCAGTGGGGTGGTCCCTGGGTTGGGGGGAGGCGGGATTTGGAGATGAGGACACAGGGACACGAGGGTGGCACATGCCAGCTACCAGAAGCTTAGCTCTGGTGTCCAGTTCCCAGTTCAACTCTGGTCCCATGGGTGCGTACTGGGGGTGGCCCTGTGCCCCTTGCCCCTTAGGCACGGTGCCAGCCTACCTTGAAGCTGCTTGCTGTCACGTTGAAGTCTACTCTCTCCCGGACCCAGCAGCTGCCCAGGTCCCCTGTCCTCTCCCTCACCAGCTGCGTGGTGAAGTTAGTCACGTAGGAGATGCTGAGGTTGCTGGTGGCCGAGCCGTGGAGGTTGATGTACAGCACAAGCTGGGGATGGGGGGGGGTGTGTGAGTGAGCCCCAAAACCCCAAGGCAGGGGCACGCAGCCCCTCCCGCACCCCACGGCACAGCTGCCACCCCACGGGATGCTCACAAAGGTGGGGCTGGAGGAGCTCAGAACTCCCAACGGGCACTGGAGATACCACCAAACCACCCCCCAAAAACCTGCTGCCCATCCCCAGCAAAGGGCCAACCGCAGCCCCAGCCCCAGGTGCGGGTCCCCACAGTTGAGAACCCCATCACGTGCCACCGCCATGCCCACACGGACCATGACGCAGGGTCCTGGCAATGACTCACAGAGCAGGAGTTGGTGGCCTGGAAAGTGGGACTGGTGAGCCGTGCCGTGCCACTGACCCCCGTGGCTGAGGTGCTGCCCACGTGGAGGAAAAAACCTGCGGGAGATGTCGGGAAGGGGCTGAGTGGTGCTGGGCCAGACGTGCGGGTGCAAGATGCTGTTTTTCCAGCACAGCCTTAAGCCAAGCCCAGGCATGTGTTAGCCCAGGGACTGTCCTGGGGTGCCGGTGCCCAGACACGTACCCGCCCTGCTGTTATTGCTGTGGTCCCGCATGGGGATGCCATATGCAGTCCCCAGGTTCAGGCTCGTGTTCCTCTCCCATGCCGGTTGCCCGACCTCCACTTTCCAGTTGCAGAGATTTTGCTCAAAGGAGCAGAGGGTGAAGGATTCTGTGGGGAGGGAGGGGGAGCAGAGTGACCCAGGGACAGGGGGGTCCCAGCCCTCCACCGGACAGGGTGGTCCCTGCAATAGGCTGAGCTGGTGCCACCCCTCCGCCAAACCCTCGGTGTGATTTTTGCCCCTTTGGTTGCACAGCCGTGGGGCAGAGCTGGGGTGACCCCTGCCAGCCCCATGGCCCAGCTTTGCCCCACCAAGGCAGATCCTTGTCCGTGCAGTCAGGGTGGGGGACTGGTGGGCAGGACCCCCTCCCTGGGGTCAGGGATGCTCACTGCACTGCTTTGCATCCTCATCTGAGCCGTCCCCACAGTCGTCGGTGCCATCGCAGAAGCGGTGCTGTGCCAAGCAGGAGCCCCGGCCGCAGCAGCTCTCCTCCACCCCACAGATCTGCTGCCCGGGCTCTGGGGCAGTGGGACACATCGTCAGTAAATGCCTGGTCCTGCAGGGACCCCCACCACATGTTGGGCTCCCCCCACAACCTTCTCTGGGGTTGCTTGCACTTGCTTGCTGCCCACTCCATGCCCTGGCCAGGGCAAGGTGCCCCCCAAGACACAGCGGGCAGTGGGCGAGCTCCCCCGGGGTGCAAAGCCCAAACCAATTCCCCCGGGAATCTCGGCTCATTGTGGGACTCACCCTGCAAACCGCAATTCCTGAAGACGATGTCATCGAGTGCCAGCTCTGCCCCGCACATGGGCAGTTGTGTCAGGGAGAAGATGAGCTGCCGATGAGAGGAAGGGGATGGCATGAGCTGAGCATCTGCCTGGGCATCCTCGTCTCCCAGTGCATCACCCGGGTCCTCTGGCCCAAGCTCATGGGGATGGTGCCCGGGTACCGACACTGCCCTGTCTCACCTGAAACGGCTCCGCAATCCGGCCCGGGTAGGCAACCAGCTGGTGCCA